TTTCCCGGCCCCCCCCCCCCCTCCCATGTGATAGCCAATTTACATGACGGGTCCTCTTTATGAAGACATTAGGGGTCTCCAAATGTCACCTAGGGACCTCCTAATGTCACCTAGGGACCTGCAGAGATCTGCTTCATCAGCTTCTGTAGCTGGAAAGTGACAGTGAATGCAGGAAGTGATGTACAGTAATATACATCACTTCCTGCATTCCGGGACTGGAGAGTAGATCAACGGGAGATCGGCAACGGCAGTGACGGCTGCTGGTAATACAAGCGATTAGAGCTGCAGCTAACGACTATTTTCAAAATCGATTAGTTAGCCGATTATTGAGTTCGATTAATCAGATAAAAAAATAAAATACATTTTAAAAAATGGCTCCAGCGATGGGACTACTAGTTTGTATTGAGATTGTAGTCCATCACAGGAGCAAGCTTTGAGCGGTGGAAGTATAAAAGAAAAAAAGTGTGGTGTGCAATATAGTGAAATGAATAAAATTTTGGAAGAGTGGATTTTCAAAGCCCTGGTTATGGGACAGCAAATGGAACACTCCAGTGATAACCAGAATGTGAGTGAACAAACGCTAATACCTGCATTTTATTTAACCTTGTCTTTCTGTAATCCCCTGCACAGCAAGACCCTGTATGAATCTGGTACAGAATTGTTAGCCATTCAGGTTCTAGTGAATTGGTTCTAGTGAACTGTAACTGTGCTGTAGAAGATAAAAGAGAAGAGTAATAAACCTCATGGGTGTATTCCTGCTACATCAGGCAGCTGCACTGAAGATAAGTGTCGGGGGCCTTGCTGTGTAGTTTTCATGTGTTTATTCATGGCAGATTATATAAAGATTCCATCTCTGTTCATCTTTGTCATTAAAAAGATGACTACTTTGTGGTCACATGGAGGTTTTTTTCAAAAGTGCCTCGAAAGTAATATTTGTTTCACCTCTATATACTTAGCAAGAATGAGCTTTGGCACTATACAGGCAAGAAGTGTCTATGTGGTAGTAAAACACTGCTAAAAGTTAATCATTTGTATTTTTTGTATTTTTTTTCTGTGATAATGTGTGGCAACTAAATTGTGTAATATTTTTTTTAGGAGTTGACAATGGAAGAGCTGAATTGTAAAGGACAGCTTATAGCCTATTGTAGCAAATTTGGATTAATTGCTAAATTTGAAGAAGTCTCTTCAACTGGTCCATCTCATGATCGAAGGTAAAGAAATACATTTTATTAAATCAAATATAGCGTTTCAGTTTATCTACTATTTCTATTAATACTAATATTTATTTCTTCCTCATCCACTGAGGAACACAGGAAGCCATTCACTGCTTGGTTAGTACTGCCTACAGGAGGATTGGACACTGGCAAACAAAAACTTGTAAGCCATGCCAGGGTATTCATCCCACTACCAGCATGCCTCCATTATTTTTTAGTTTAGTGTACTAGGAGGATGGAGGTGTCTTAGAATTGATGACCTTTCTTCAGCACTGCTATCGAGTAATACTTTTTTTTTGTTTATGCTTACTTGCTTTGTTTTCTTACTTCACTCAAGGTTCTTGGACATTGCTGCTAGAGCTGGTCTCTTCAATAGCAGTTCTACAGATCAGCATTTCCTCAGCTTAGCTTTGGAGTGCCATACGCATACCATGCTGGAAAGGACGTTGCAGGGTTAGTTTGGAAATGACCTTTAGGAACTGGCTTCCCTCCTTTCTGTTCTGGTAATAAGATTGCTGTTTTTTCAGTTCTAGAGCAGTTGGTATTGCCTCAATGTCCCGAATATGAACAATTACACTGTGAGTAGGCTGATCGGGATCAGCCCTGGGAGATACCTCATTGTTGCACCATGCACGCTCATGCTCCACTTGCTTTTCCACCAGGAAGCATCTTCCTGTTGCTGATCTTGCTTTGCCAAGAGCCACATGGAACTCCGATCTTTGGTCTGCTCCTTCTGCCTGTCAACAGTGACCTAGTCACCTCTGGCCATCTGACCCTACACTTGCTACCAGCTGTTAAACTCTGTAAGTAGCTGAGGCTTGCCTTGTATTCCGAGATTTGTATCTTCATGTGGTTGCAACATGTTTAATTCTAGACACGGCGGAACAGTCCCACTTTTCACACTCTACCAACTGCTCTGGTGGCACTTGCAGTGTGCCTACTGATGCGGCCTTTGTTTGCAGCCTGGAATCAACCTGCTCACTGTTCACAGAGATTACGCCATCTTTGGAGTATTCCCTAGTACTAGGGATGCGCTGATTCCTAATTGACCGGGAAGCCAGATCCATGTTCCCCCGTCACTTGGTGATGACTCGCTGTCTAGATTCCTGATTGATTGGTCGGGTGGACGGCGAGTCATTACTTGCCCCCTGGGTTCCTGATCAGCCAGAAAGCCATCTTCATGCTTCCTCGTAACCTGGTGACGAGTGAGCATGGAGACGGCTTCCCTGCTAATCAGAAAGCCAGGTGGCGAGTCATTACATGCTGCCTGGATTCATAAATGGGACTTCCGGTATCGGTATTTTGGTATCGGTGAGTACCGGAGAAAAATATATCTGTACTGGTACTCGATACCGAAGAAAACGGTATCTGTGATTCCCTACCTAGCACAGATATTTTCTGACTCCAAATGCAGAGGCCACAAGCTTGCCCCCATGCTTTTGCCTGCAGATTCTGTATCAGATATGCCCAAGGCTTTGGCAGTCTCCGAACCATCAGCCACTGAGACCCTGTCCAATTGAGTCTCCATCTTCCTTAGTGAAAGAAGCCTAAGTCTCATCCTTCACTGGGGATAAGAAAATCCCTCTTTGTTTCTCCACATCAACCAACTCCAATTCCAAACAAGTGTGGCTGGCAAGTTTGGCTCCCTGTCCTCTGTGAAACTGGAGCGGCAAGTCTACGAAGCTCTCAAGGCAAATCTTATGCATGAAGGTGTGTGTCATTTTCCAAAGTGGAGGACATCTGTTGTCCTTTGCAGACACCTGGGCAGTCTGCATTTCAGATGGGTGCGGTAGAGGGTGGTTTATAGGGGCTACAGGCTACAATTTTTGCTTCCAGCCTGCTCTCTGGTTTATCATCTCCAACATTTTTGTATTGCCACACAGGTTAGCAGATTTTCAAGCAACTCTAGCATACCTTCTGGAAAAGGGTGTCATTGCCCCAGTTCCTGAGGCAGAATTGGTTTAGGGGTTTTACTTTGAATTTTTAACTTTTACTTTTGTTCACTATTCCCAAACGCAAAGGGGGTATCGGTCCCATCTTGGATCTGAAAGCTCTGAATGTCCTCATTTGAGCTCAGAAATTCTGTATGGAATTTATCAGGTTTGTTATCTCCTGTACTTACCAGGGAGACTTCCTGGTGATTGTGGACATCAAGGATGCATACCTACATGTCTTAATTTTCCCAGTGCACCAGCAATGTCTATGGATTGCTGTGAGCCCTCTGCATTTTCAGTTTGAAGCCCTGCCATTCTGCCTATCTGCAGGTGCTCACCAAGATGTTGGACCATAGTACTAGCCATGCTGTCCTTTCAGGGCATTACAGCCTAAATTACCCCCTGCTGAGGGAATGGTTGGCAGAGGTTCTGGAGGACAAAGTAACCTTGACATTCCAGACCTTGCAGACGTTTGGGGGGATCCTAAACTTCAGGAATCGGTGCTGGAACTGATTTTTTGCTTGCAATAACTGCGTCGATTCCCAGATTTTTTTTTTTTTTATTTCCCTTGCCTCGCTGTGTACAAATAATGGTGACTGAAAGGTTGGTAACAACTTGATTACATCTTGGGTCCCTGAAAATGTCATTCTGTCAAATGGGGTCAAAGTAAGTCTACTGCTTGGCCAGATTAATTCATCTGGCATTGAGGACCAGGCTGTCCTTTTGCTTGGTGGCTCAGGAATCCAACTATTTTTATTTAGTGGGCTTGTTGGCTTTTTGTTTGCTTTTGCCCACCCCTCAGTTGGACTGCTTTTAGATGTCCCAACTTTCTGTGTCTGGCAGTGGACGAGAAAGAAAATAGTATTATCTGTGATAAAGAAAAAACACATAAAAAAAACATAATTGTATATTTTATCCAATTTTTTTTTCTATTTCTTGTGTATTCTCTTATATGGTCTTCATGGTTTTCCCAGGTTTGCTGTTTTTTACCTGTTGCTATCCACAGCACAGAATGTAATGGACCATTTAATACATTTGCATACAGTAGCAGCATTTATTATTTATTTATTTATTTATTATTATTATTATTATTGCTTATAATTATTTATTATTATTATTATTGATTATAATTAAAGGCAAATTCAACATGCATATTCATTGTTGTTGCTATCAAACAATCTTCCTTGAGGAATAACAAGTGGCAGTTGCTGAGGTGCATGCATGCAATTCAGAAAGTGGCTTCAAAAAGGCTGCAGAAGTTCAGCGCAGTGCTAAGATGCAGCAAAGTGCAAAAACAGTATTCTGTTAAAAACAAAGATGGCAAACTGTTGAAGATATACACTGCTTGGCCAGATTATTATGACCACCTGACGTTTGTAGGCAAATTAGCTATAATTTCGCACTGAAGTTGCTAGAGGGCCAGACCATTATAAATAGGGAAGCAGGTTGTTTACCACGACAGTAAAAGTGATTTTTTTTTCTGAAGATATGGGTAAACAACGCGATTTAACAGCCTTTGAACGTGGGATGATTGTTGGCGCTCAAGCCATGGAGCGAGTATCAGCAAAACAGCAGAATTCGTTAAATGTCCCAGAGCAGCTGTTGGTAAAGTGTTTAAAGACTGGACTGTCAGCCGAAAATCTGGGTCTGAACGTGCAAATTGTGGCCGTCAGCGACTAGTCAATGTTAGGGCAGAACGCAGAGTGGCAAGACTGGTACAAGACAACAGAAGGGCAACAGTGCAGTGTCAGATTCCTCGCATCACCTTTCAACATCTCGTGGAGTCACGAGGCGGCCCAACGAAGTCATCTCATTGCCCACCGAAGTACTGATGGGGTGGTCATAATAATCTGGCCACTCAGTGTACAGTGCTGTAGCAAACTAAATGCCATTCATTTAGGGTTCACATGTACTTTAATTCACAAATGGTGTATCAGTTGAACTTTGCCATATAAACTAGCGTAGTTTTTGTGTTACAATGTTACCTTGGCCTGGAACAGAAGTGCAGAAAAAATATCCAAAAACTAACTATCTGTTTCGGTTTTTTTTTTTTTTGTTTGTTTTTGCTTTTTTAGATTCACTGTTCATGTTCTTGTCAACGATAAAAAGGTTGGAGTAGGAGAAGATAAAAAGAAAAGAACTGCTGCTAACATTGCAGCCAAAATGGCTTTGTTGTCCCTACAAAATCAAGAACATATTCAAGACCGGGTAGAGCATGAAAGGGTACGTTTATGAATATTTTCTGTCGCCTATCAAATAAGAGTGTTAAAGAGAACGTCAGGGAAAATACTGCTGTAAATATTTCCAATTATTTTTCTGTGTCTTCTTTAGTTCTGGCTGCACAATTTGGAAGAGAAAATAAATCTGAGAAGGGAAAATGGACAGTGGCAGGATATATATACTAGGGATGCACCGATAGCGGGTTTTTTTTTGTATTGAGTACAAGTACCAATATATTTTTTTTCCTCGGTACTTGCCGATACCGGAAGTCCCAATAAGGAAGCCGGAGAGCTTGTAATGACTCGCCGCCCAGCTTCCTGATTAGCCGGGCAGCGTGTAATGACTCGCCGCCCGGGCTTCCTGATTAGCCGGGAAGCCAGGCGGTGTGTAAGGACTCGCCGTCCAGGCTTCCTGATTAGCCGGGTGGCGTGTACTGACTCGCCACCTGGCTTCCTGATTAGCCGGGAAGCCGTCTTCATGCCCCCTCATCCCTGGTGACGAGTGAGCATGGAGCAGGCTTCCTGGCCAATCAGGAAGCCGGGCAGCGTGTAATGACTTGCCACCCGGCATCCTGATACCGGAAGTTCTGGTATCGGGATAAGCATCGGGAGCATTTGGGCGAATACGAGTACTCGCCCAAATACTCTGTATTGGCACAGATACCAATACTAGTATTGGTGCATCCCTAATATATACTATGTACTAAAGGGGTGATGTATAATGCGTACGCCCAGCGTACAGCAGGCTGAACAGAGTTCACATGGCATTAGTGCCACTAGATGGAGCCAAGAAGCAAAATAAATTCCTCTGCTCAATCTAGTGGCAGTAATGCCCTATGAAGGGTGTTCACCCAGCTAAATGCTTTATACAATAGCCCCTATGAGAAATCTGATGTGTATATAACAGCAGAGTGTATAATGTGAAGCTGCATGGAGTATAGAATGTACATAGTCCAGTGGTGTGCAGTATATATTGTAATAATTGGAGCTTTGTGCACATCAGTGAAATATTGTCCGCCATGTAATTCATGCTGGAAATAGGTTAGCTGTGTAGTGGTGTCATCTGGCACGTAGTGGTGTATATAATATTTTCACACAAGTTTTACCCAAGATTCACACATTTCTTCAAATTGGATTGAGTTGAAAAAGTGACTCCAGGGTGAAAGATATGTGGAAATATTGATAAATGGACATCTTTAAAGTGTATTTAAAGTAAAATTCCCGGAATTCTTCCCCCCCAAAGTAAATGTTTAGGCAAATGTAACATTTCTAAATGTTCCCTATAACAGCAAATCTTCACTTTTTGAGTTCAATTCCACATAAAAAAAACACCAGCTGCATGTAAGTTTTTATATTATGTCAGTTTACTGGTGAATTATAGCCTAATGGGAGCTCTCCTTTAAAGTGTTATTCCACTTTTCAGGGGTGTGGAAATAAAAAAAACAACTACTTGTTTAAAGACCAAATTGGGGGCCCAATCTGCTTCTCCCTCTTGACAATCTACTTGTCGTGATACAAAAAATAATTTTAAACAAAATCGTATTTAACCTTGCGAAGAAGCGCTTCTCATTAGTCAGTGCGGTCACCTGACCGATGCCCGTAACTTGCTAGCAAAATTCAAAATCCATAGCGCAGGGCTGCGCTGAACGGCAGTATGAGGTACAGATAGTACACGCATACCTGCAGAGGGGAAGGACTGTTCGTTGTAAGGTAAGTATAGCGGGGAGGGTGGGGGGGGCATGACGATGTAGGTGTACATAGTCCAGTGGTGTGCAGTATATATTGTAATAATTGGAGCTTTGTGCACATCAGTGAAATATTGTCCGCCATGTAATTCATGCTGGAAATAGGTTAGCTGTGTAGTGGTGTCATCTGGCACGTAGTGGTGTATATAATATTTTCACACAAGTTTTACCCAAGATTCACACATTTCTTCAAATTGGATTGAGTTGAAAAAGTGACTCCAGGGTGAAAGATATGTGGAAATATTGATAAATGGACATCTTTAAAGTGTATTTAAAGTAAAATTCCCGGAATTCTTCCCCCCCAAAGTAAATGTTTAGGCAAATGTAACATTTCTAAATGTTCCCTATAACAGCAAATCTTCACTTTTTGAGTTCAATTCCACATAAAAAAAACACCAGCTGCATGTAAGTTTTTATATTATGTCAGTTTACTGGTGAATTATAGCCTAATGGGAGCTCTCCTTTAAAGTGTTATTCCACTTTTCAGGGGTGTGGAAATAAAAAAAACAACTACTTGTTTAAAGACCAAATTGGGGGCCCAATCTGCTTCTCCCTCTTGACAATCTACTTGTCGTGATACAAAAAATAATTTTAAACAAAATCGTATTTAACCTTGCGAAGAAGCGCTTCTCATTAGTCAGTGCGGTCACCTGACCGATGCCCGTAACTTGCTAGCAAAATTCAAAATCCATAGCGCAGGGCTGCGCTGAACGGCAGTATGAGGTACAGATAGTACACGCATACCTGCAGAGGGGAAGGACTGTTCGTTGTAAGGTAAGTATAGCGGGGAGGGTGGGGGGGGCATGACGATGTAGGGGCGCTTTTCCCTCTTAACTTTATTGCTATCACACAGGCACTAACAAGCCCATATGTGATGCCATTTGGAGGTGACAGGTTCTCTCTATGGAGCCTGCTCTCCAGTACAGAAGATTGAGCACAATGCTGTGCTCGATCTCCTGTGCAGTCCGGCTTGTTGACAGCTGAGACAGGAAGCGCTGTGAGTATAGCACTCCTGTCTCACTGATCACACAGAGCAGATCAGTGAACGGACGTTCTACGGTTTGCTTCCCGCTCTCCATTCTAAAATCAATGCTGCGGCGGGGGTTTATAGACAAGCAGGCTGCTACAAGTGATGGAAGCATGAGAACTCTAGTCTTTGTTGCTCTCTGTCTTTAATGGGGTGACTCTTTTAGGAATGGTCTATTGTCTGTAACTGGTGTAGCCTTGCTACATTTAGCAGTACTTGGGGTTCCATTTGGCCTTTTTATACAGCCTTACAAATGGCATGCTCTAGCCCATAAAAACTAAATAAAAATCTACTTAAGTAGTCCTACAATAATAACACGATTTCAATATACTGATCTTTTTTGCCTCAACTGTGTTTGTAGCAACATTTTTCAGTCACTTTTTTTTTCTTGAGGTCAGGTTGAATTACATTTTTTTTTAAATAAAGGCTGGTTAAAAATGTTTGATTATTTTCAGTTGGGTTGTAATGTGTTGGTTATCCTTTGAAATATTTTATGTCTTTTCTTTGATCAGATCTTTAGCAGAAAATTACTGAATTCATTAAACACTATTGTAATTTTTATGTGAAGTGTTTACTTTTTCTTGAAAACTTCAGCTTATTGCTAAACATGTGGCAGACTGTAATGCCTACCATGACCCAAAAAGGTGGTGTGGGAATGTGGGGTTATAAAAAGTGTAGAACCCCTTTCCCCCTCAGTGCTTCTTTCTTTCTGGCCCTTCCTCATGTAGCAGCAACTTTTTTCCCTCTCTTGCCTGTGGTTGTCAGCATTGGTCTGAAGTAAATATGATTAAGATTTGTTTACCTTGCAGAGTAAGAGGTATCTGTGGCTTCCATGTGCTCATAAATTACAAGGAAACCGTTGTCAGAAGGAATTTTCAATTGGTTCTTTACACTCCTTTTTTAAAACCATTAGATTTTTTTTTTTAAGCACGATATGGCCAGCAAAGTACCACAGATTAAGCTTGAGCTCCATTCTTTTGTTCATATTTCAGGCTCCGGTCTCGGAAAACGTTGTTCACCCGACGACTTCTCCTGCTGTAAGCACAAGGTATATCATGCATTCCTTTAAGCAAACTGTAGCGTGGAACACAGGTTTACTTGGCAAGACAATGAATGGGGAGAGGTGGAGGCCTGTACATGTCCTCAAGAATGCAATTTATATATCTTATTAGGAATTTGTGATAACAGAAAAATCTTCATGTGTAACCCAGACCACCAGGATGGGACCTGAAGTCAACTAGGCTGGTCCACACCTATCATATACATGATTAGCTGTATTAAAGCCCTACTCATTTTAGTTGTGGATTGTGTGTGTTGGGGGGAGGAAATTATTTATTTTTTTGTCTATGAACTTATTTGTTATATTTCTCCTTGCTGTCTGTATATTTGATGGGTGTTAGGAAGTAAGAAAGTGTGACAGATGTTGGTCGTAACAGGAAGTGTCTGGAAAACCCCACAATGGCTACTTGGGCAGCAATAGTATACAAGAATAACGGTAATTAGTCCAGAATTATTTTATTAATACGTTCGATGTAATTTTTTTTATTGCAGCATCCAGCACAGTCCAGTTAATGGTGCCACAGGTTTAAATTGGGTATGTCTTTATTTTAACTAATTCTGTCTTTTGTATTTTTTGTTTAGTTTATACCACAGCCTAAATACATATAATAGCTTTCTTCTATTTTACATATATATATATCAGCAAGAACCAAACTACGTAGGAATGTTCAATGAATTTTGCCAGAGAAATGGATGGATGCGTTACAGTTTTGTGGCTGATCGAAGAGGACCTGACCATATTCCTGAGTAAATAAACTAATACAAATATGGGTAACAATTAATGTGTTGTGTTTTTAGATTTTCGCATGCACTGTTGTGCAAACATTGTGATTTTCTATGCTGCTAATTCATAAGAGCTCCACATGGTGAGGCCAGCTTTACTATGGTCTTTACCAAATGGTGGATTTTTATGCAGGGATTTCTATATTTTTAAAATGTTAACACGTATGTTGTCCTTGAGTTCTCATAGTAGTGCTTGTAATGTTGGCTTGCAGAGGTAAACCTCTGCTGATGGTATATTAAGCTTACTATGGTGTGCAAACTTTAACCCCTACATGACTGAGCTTGTTTTCAGTTTCTGTCATTTTTGCTGTGTGACCTTCCATGGCAGTAATATACTTTCTTACTAAATGTACCCACACATATTATATATTGTTTTTTAGAGGACATATAGACTATATAATTATATCAAATGTGTACCTAACGCCTCACTTAGTTTGAATAAAATATTTTGGAAAATGAGCAAAAAACTTAAAGAAAACACGTTTTTTTCTTTAGTTTTGATTATTATATTTTAGAAATTTTTTATAATAATGATAGTACAAAAAATATATATCATTTTTATTTTCTTAATCTTCTTTACAATTTTTTTTGTCAGTTTATATCAAGCAGTCACCATGACTGCTTGATAAATTTAACTTTTTAAAATTTTTGGTTATTATTTGGCTGCTCCAAACTTAGGAACAGCTAATAATAACCTTTAGAGACTGATCCTGACAGCATGTAAAAATCAGATCTCACTAAAGGTCCCTGATAATGCCCAGACGATCAGAAGTGATACATTTCAGGCACATTGTAACATTGTGCCTGAAATGTTTCAGGGCTCAGTCACACTAGATGCAGTGCGTTCCGACCGATTTTGGCCGGAACGCACTGCCTCGCATTGCGGGCGGCTCACTTTTTAGTGGGGTAGGAGGGGGCGTGGCGGGCCATTTAAGTGAATGGCGCTGTAGCCACGCCCTCCAGCCGCAATGCGATCCGCCGCACGGGATCGCAAGGCACTTGAATGGCCCGCCACGCCCCCTCCTACACCACTAAAAAGTGAGCCGGCCGCAATGCGAGGCAGTGCGTTCTGGTCAAAATCGGGCCGGAACGCACTGCATCTAGTGTGACTGAGCCCTCACACAGCTTTGTAGACATAGGGCCAGTCTATCGAGCTGTCAAAACGAATCGCAGAGAGGTGACTCACTCTGCTACCTCTGTGCTACTCTGCTACCTCTGTGCTATCTTTAGCTGTCCGGATCGCTATTCAGCGATCCGGTATTTGTATGTAACCAGGGCCAGATTTACTTTTTCTCGACTGCTCCAAGGCCAGGTTCCCCAATGCGCCCCCTACCTGCCAACCCCCCCTTCCCCCCATTAAGAATGGCAGACCTGCAGGCTGCATACAATGTCGCCGAGATCACGTGTACAAAAGAAGTTGTGGCTTCCCCGCTGTACATTTTAGCTCTGCTTGCCCAAAGCGGGGTTAAATGTAAAAAAACTACCCGCCCGGGCATGATAGGAATTCCACACCCCTGCTGCCCCTCAACTCCCTGCTGCCCCTCAACTCCCTGCTGCCCCGAGGCCGGGCCTTGGTTGCCCTTGTGGGAAATCCAGCCCGGTATTTAACAGCTTCATTCTTTCATTAATGAAAGAAGCTTTTACAAAAGCTTACCTATTTCATTAATGAATGCCTCAATTCTGAGGCATTCATTAATGAATGGTAACCGCTGAAAATCAGCGTTTACCAGCATTACAGAGCCGCAAATAACTGGTCATGTACAGTGTACGTGGCTAGTTATTTAGGCACTTCGTGGCAGGACATACAGTGTACGTCTCCCGTCATGAAGGGGATAAGGACCTATTTTCACCCTTGTGTTTTAAAAACAATCTTCTAGAGGTTTGTGTGTTGTTTGGGATTGTTAAAAGTAAGTGAATGAAAATGGTGCCCTGTTTGGTGTAGATTTAACAGAACATCAAGCTGATTAGTACATAAAACACCAACATAGTATGTATTCAAAGCATAGTGGACACTTGTGTTGCCTATAGGTTACCTGTTAGTTGCCTGGCTGCCATGGTGATTTATTGTCACTGACATAGGTTGAGGCAAGGAAATATAACCCAGAATGGTAGTAGGCTTTAGGGATTGATTCACCAAATTATTTAGGGCTGTTCACTTGGCAATGCGAATCTTTGTAAATAAAGAGACGCTGTGTTCCTTTTCATTAAGCAGTCGTGCAAAGGACATTTCCAAGAAATAACACTTGTTCTTGCATTATGGGTTGAATTAAAATGAACAGAGCTTTATCTTTTTTGCTAAGTTCTTTGAGCATTCACTTTGCAAAGTGAGTCTTTGTGCGTTTAATAAATGAACCCTTTAGTGCCTGATATGCCAAGAATGCTGTCTCCGGAGCAACAATGTGAAGTACATGGACTATGCTATAGATGGCAAAAAAATGCCTTCCATTTTTTGTTTTATTCTTAAGGTTTTTCTGCCATGCTGTTATTGGTGAGCGGAAGTTTCCTGAAGATAAAGGGAAAAACAAGAAAGAAGCAAAAAAGAATGCTGCATATTTGGCTTTAAGGGTTCTTAAGAAGGAGGATCCTACCAATGTTCAGGTAAATATTCTGTATCAGAATGGCATGTATGTAGTTGAAACAAATGCCCTTGGGCATGGTTTGTATACTGCCATTGCGACCTATCCAATAAGGTTGGAGCCAAAAAGAGTTATTTGAATAAAAAATTTCTATAGAAATTAGTGGAATTAACACAAATGTTTGGTATCAGCTTAACTTAAAGAAGAACTACAGGAAAATTATTTTATTAACCGTTGCAGTGGGGCTACCCCTGCACTGCAAGGGTTAACTGCTACTTTTTGTCTAAGTTCAAATAAAAGTTCTCACTTGATGCTCTGAGCTGGCTTGTTCTTAGACCGGTCCCTAGAGCCTATCTCCCCCTCTGCTGCAGCGGTCTGATTTCCAGTAAATCATCACCTCTGTACACTGATACAGACGTGAGTACCCGGAGGAAGATTCCAATGCTGCAGTGGAGGAGACAGGCACTGTGACAGCTGGCCGGCTCTGAGCTTTGGGCGAGTATAACTTTATTTTTGAACCTAGACAAAAAATGGCTTCTGGGATTGTTGATCACATGTACAGCTCATCACTTTAAAGGAAAATATATTGAATAAGGTACATACTACTGTAAAGAAGGATGCTTGGATTAACCAAGGAGTACATGCTTGAGGCTATATTACATCTTAGTTTACCATTTATTGCATATGTTATGGTACTGGATATAATACAATAAACCTGCTTAATACAATTTATATCAACAGTAATGAGCAGACCTGTATCTAAACATTAAATAATTAGAACTCAAGTTGTATGTTTGTAATATGTTACTTTTGACTCGCACAGTTACAATGGATCCCAGCGCTAGATGATGGTGATGTGATGCAAGCAACAAGTACTTCTGAATCCAAAAGGTATCCTCACATTTTAAGTGGTGTGATATTTTTTTATTTTTTTTTAACAAAAACACTATGAGGGGAATTTATCAAAACTGGTAAATCTGGAGCAGCTGTGCATGGCAACCGATCAGCCTCTCTTTCATTTTCAAATCTTAATTGAACAAACTGAAGATTGGTTGCCATAGGCAACTGCTCCAGATACTGTCTGCTGCCGTTTTGATGTATGCCCCCCCCCCCAAAACTGTTTGATCACACTCAGCA